ATACAGACTGTGCACTAGAGAGCTGTTAGTCTAAATGATTCTTTAATGTGACATGGATATTTTATCTTTATCTTAAAACTAAAACCAAAGCATATCCTTGTTTTTAAAAAAGATGAAAAAAAGCAATGATTTGAAATTCATTTAAACTCTTAACTCTTAAGGAGGTAATGTATTTTGAATGAAAAAGCATTCCGTTGCTATTTGCATTTTTGGCTTAGCATTTTGAGGTTGAAGTTTGTCTGCAAAAAAAAAAAAGGTATGGCCATAGATGCAAAAATACTTACTCGTTACCATAACTGCTTCTGTTGTATTCAGGCTTGGACTTTGAGTAGCCCGAGTAGGATGTCCTGTAGAGGGAGAAAAAGGTTAAAAAACAATTGTTCATGAAGGGTTTTTGTGTTTCTCCCAAAAACAGCAGTTTGTAAGACTTTCACTCACTCGTGCTGATAATCTCTCTCATTCCACTCTGGTCTGGCCCTCGGGTAAACCCCCCTGGATAGAGACACGCAGCAGTTACTAACTTAAGATCGTTTTGGTTTATTTAAATGACTGAACAACAGGGAGGATAAAAGCAGGAGAAAGGGAGTTCACAGGATGGTGGAAGATTTGTGAGAAAACTGACCTGTCACCTGAGCCTTCAGTTTTGTTCTGCAAAATAGAAACAAGAAAATGATGAAATGAATTGAGTACTGTTCCAGGTCAGACAGGTATGGCATTTTGCTACGTGTAAGTACAACTAACACATTTCTGCTAGAATCAAAATGCGTCTTTTTACTCCAGAGTAATGCAAAACAATTGAGGCCCCACCTGAGGCCTGTACTACGAAGCAGCATTTCTTATCTACCCAACTTCAGGGTTAACTTAGCAAGCTGATAACTAGCTTTGTGTGACTGGTTCTCCTGGCTGCTGATGTTAGTCTAAATGAAGTCCAGATAATAGGAAGACAAGCATAATATCTTGAACTCGCTTTTGCAGTACAGACCTCTGGAAGGAGTGCGGAAAAGATACTTACGGGTGTCCTGTAAACATAGGTGACTTCCTCCTCTGAAAGAAAACACAAATATCATGTTCACTACACTGTTTCCTGCACATTCTTAACTCTGACTGTAGTGAATGACGTGATCAACAACCTCTCATTTGAAACAGAACAGTAAGAAGCCTAGCCAGCTGCTCGGCTTGGCTAGGTGTTTCTTTGTGTGGAAGACAAAAAACAACAACAAAAAACAACTTAAATATAAATGCTAAAATGAATTATTAAATGCACTAAAACCCTACAGATAAATAAATTTTTGTGCCGAAAAAGACCCCACTCTTACTATCTAAAATTAATTATGTCGATACTGTCAATCATTACCTTTTTATTTGTTTATGTCTATATGTTCAATTGCTTTAAACGAGCTTTGTATCTTACTGGCTTGCATTTAAATAATAAATAATATTAATAATTACACAGAAATTACTACAGTGTAATTCCTTTACTAATTTATAGTCTTTGTAATTACGATAGTATAGATTTTCCACGCCTTTTAAAGGACACGAGACAAATTTGACACATATATGAAAATGTGAATCGCACCCTCTTCTCTGTAGTAGGTTTTGTCAGGTGATGGTTTGGCTCTTTTGCCTTTGGCCATGGCCTCTTTCAGTTTCTTCTCATACAGGTTTCTCGTAGATTCTGTGAACAAACAGGACACGGGGAACCTTTATTACAGGTAAAACTGTTCCTCTAGGAAAGAGCTGTAAAGTTAGCTGACACGGCTACTGATTCAAAAACGGGCGCATAGGAAACAGTTGTATCTGTGCCACTCACCGACCACAGGTCCGTGCTTTATTCCGTATTCATCGAGGAGGTCGCTGATTTCCTGCGCAGATTTGTCACTCAGGGAAGACATTTTTGCTTTGGCTTACTTAAAAATGTGTTATTTATCTCT